AGAGATATCGTGATTGTGATAACATTTTCCCACCAGTAGATAAACAACCATCCAGTAAGGTCGAATTCATTTCAGGAGGGTGGCTATGGATGTGTGAGTTGAGTCGGGTCTATGGAGGATCACCGCGCGACGTCGTACATACGTGCGGCATGCCACGTATCGGAAAATGTGCGACAAATTTGAGCGAGATCTATGCGTTTGATGCTTCACGCACATGTGCATTCGCCAGCTACTTTTCTTTGTTTCTTTTCTCTTTCACTTTTGTTATGTGGGGTGGTACCTGTACATTGTGATGGGTGACGAAGACAATAGCAATTTAGAAGCTGATAAGGAAACTTTGAAGGCAAAAGACGTCAATGCGGTTGCGCAGTCCACGTTAAAACTAAAGTGTTCTTACTCGCGTATTATGGGGGGGGGTGGGACGTGGACATTCCATCGATATAATCAGCCTAGCTTGAGCAGATTCTTGGCGAATGGTGCATTTCGTTGTTGATCTAATACCAAGGAGACCAGAATTCATTCAATGACCGAAACCTTAGGCATTTCGAACACTGTAGAAGAAAGATAAGTGTAGAAGCCCAATTATTATAAGTGAGCATGTTTCATTCTAATTTTGAGGCTAACAGCATAACCCTATTCACCGCTAAATTATCAGAATTCAGGAGAAATGCTCAGTGTTTACAGGGCTATGTGTGATAAAACCTGGAGAGCCCGCGGAACCTTAGGTCATGTGATGCGCGCGATACCGGGCGGAGCAAAGCTGGTGGAAATATAAAGCACACATTTTCGTATTGCTTGGAACATACCAGTCATTCCTAAAAGTTCTGGGAAGTGTAGCGGTCGAATAGTGTTTGATGACGATGAAAACGCAAATGAAATGATATTGAAATGAAATGCACTATCTGCAATCTGGTTTCGAGTGATCTCTACGTTCGTACGCATATCGTTACTATCAGTCCTCATCAGTCGTTATCACTTTTGACCCCCACCAAATATGTTCCGTCCCACCCCCTATATCATATCCCAAAATCAGCTCCTAACGACTGCTGCGACGCGTGCTATGAATTTCGTGACACACACACAGACAGACAGATATGGCGTTTTATCCTAATATCAGTAGGATCGCCCAGCTTACGCTGGACCCTTCTTGGGGGATTATGGCTACGCCGGGCAACTGCTTTTCAGAGGTTAGGCAAAATCCTCCTAGAATAGCAATTTCAGATCACAAAATACACACCATGATCAATTCATTGTTGGAAACCGATCTCCGAAAATTCAAAAGTCGTTGAACTACGACAATATCACCTATCACCTGTATCACCTGTCGTCCCGTTGATCATCGATTGCTCGAGCGGGCGCCAGCAACGTCTCCATTCGTCCCTGTCGCGTGCAAGAGTGGTCCAGTGGATCCTCCTCGCTCGAGGGACACGAAGTCCTTCATTCCTTTCGTTCAGAGCTTTCGTGAAGAAGTCTGACCATCGGGCCGGCGGTCGTCCAGGTGTTCGTTTGACGTCCCGAGGGATCCAGTCGGTAACCGCTCTGGTCCAACGGTCATCGCAAAATCGCATGACGTGTCCGGCCCACCTTATCTTCGATTCCTTGGCGAAAACGGCAGCGTCCCTGATCTTCGATCGTTGGCGTAGTTCGGAACTCCGGATTCCCCTCTGCACTTGCGTGTATAGGGTTACTCCTAGCATCGTCCTCTCGACAGCGCGTTGGATAACGCTGACCGCATGCTCGTCCTGCCTGCGCAGAGTCCAAGTCTCTGAGGCGTAGGTTAGGGCAGGAAGGACAGCGGAATCGAAGAGGTGGGCACGGAGCCGGATGTTCTTCGTCTTCTTCACTACTCCCTCGATGTTCTTGTACGCTCCCCAAGCCGCTCGTTTCCTCCTGCTCAGCTCTGGAGCTAGATCGTTCATCATATTGATTTCCCGACCTAGGTACACGTAGCTGGAGCATTCGGTGATGTTGAGCGTGAATGGGGCATCAGAAACCAATCCGTTTCTCATAAAAACATCGTCTTCGTTAGGTTCAGCTGTAGACCAACCTTACCACAGGCGCAGTCGAAATCAGCCAGCATTCGCTCCGCTTGCTCGATGTTCGGCGTTATT